TAATTAGATTAGTCACCTCGGGTTTTATTTCTGTCGCAAAGATTTCCGAAACGCGACAAGCTTAGAGAGAGAGAAAAAAATGTCTCTTGCTTGTTTCTTTTTTTGCACAATACGAGAGAAACAGGAAAATTTCAAATTCGTAAAGGTTTGTTCTCAAAAATTAACGCACCACTTATTTTTTTTTTGCGTCAGCTCGATTTTTGTAGTTTCGTTATTTTTCTTTGGGATTTGTGTGTAATGTTCGCCGCCTCGCATTCTTTTTTTTCAAATTATTGCTTACAGCAATTTTTTTGCGTTTTTCGTAATTCTTCAAGGTAATGCTGTATGAGCAAATCTTTTGATGCTTCCTTTTTTGGGTTTTTAGAATTCGGCGCGCCGAAAAGTTATGCATGTTGAACGTGTGCCGCTCGAACTTATTATGCATGTATGTATGTCCACTAGCAACGAGCTTCACAATAACCGCCTTAAACTCGATAATGGGCCCACAAATCAAATGTTGTGCGCTGCTAAAAAATGCACATTTCTGATGTGTGGGGAGAGCGGGTCGAGCCCATTCGACCCAAGCACCACGATTAATTTCAATGTTGCTCTTTTCGGAGCCGACAACGCTGCTAATATGACACCCTCTTCGTCGACCCAGCCTTAATCCGCCAAATGTTCGCGCTTCGTTGGATCAGGATCTCATTTTTGAATAATATTCCGATGAATACTACATTTCACTCGTCCGGATGACATCCGGCATCTTGTCATTATACAATGCTCGCCTTCACTCTTCAAGCAACATTCTTAAGGGCAATTGTGGTTTTGTTTTAAAAACACATAGTTTTGGCTGCCGACGTAACATTCGCTTCCATATTTCATTGCTACTTTGCAACATTTTTCATACATTAAAAAAACCGGCCCGGATTTGCTATAATGGTAGGGTTTCTAATTTTGACGAGTTGAACATTTTTATTTATGGATATTTTCATTGATTTTCTGTGTCAGGTCGCTGGCATGTGTTTTCTCATTTTTTTGGACTCCTGTCAAAAAGTTGCTAATTGCATTCTGGCACACTATGTACATATGGTTGAACAACATGTGTATTTTGCGCATTGACTCATTTGGCATTTTAAATTCTGCAAATTAGATCTTTCGAAACCCTTTCTTCCTTGTGCGTGTGTGTTTGTGGGCGCGTTTTTTTTATATTTTTTTTTTCGATAAAAACCATTCACTAAAAGAGGGGGTCGGTGAAAAGCTCGAGGGACTCAAATTTTGGCAGCGCCATGTTCAAAAAAATTGAAGTGGGTTGAAAAGTTCTATATTTAGAATGATTGATTCATTTTGTAGATCTCCTTCATGAATTCTTGACCTTTTATTTGAATATATAGAGCTTTTTTTGGTAGTCTTGGCGCAGGTTTGGCGAAAAATTCAAATAAAAAAAAATAACCACGGCTCCCGACTGTGGCAGTTTGCACTTTTCGCCTCACTGCCACATTATTTTGTAATTCACTTCAAAACTCTCATTTGCGTGACATTTTGCCAAGAAAGGCCCCCTTTTTTGGAAATACGTTTTCTAAATCCACTTATTATATTATGCCAAAATTTTATTTACATTTATTGCATTTTATTTTACTATATAATGTATTACATATTTGAAAACATAAAAATATTTGCGTTATTGTGCACCTTCTCGCCCATCCTCATTTTTTTGCAAAGGAATTTTAATTCTTATTTTTATTAATCTTGTGTCTTAACTCTTCGAAATATATCATTTTTAAGGGGGTAACCGTTAAATGTATAAAAATATCATTAAAAATCGAAAAAAAAAGAAGAACGAAAATTCGATGTTAATTTGTCGTAGATTGTCGTCAAATAAAATGGCCAAGTCCGCAATGCCATTTTTAGCTTCAATGTGAACTGTAACGTCTTCTCGGTGTGAGACTGAATACATATTTGAGATAAAATATCCGTAATTGTATTATCGATTTCCATAAAGAAACATTTCGCGTGTTCACACCTAATGCATTTTAGCCGACGACTATTTTTAAACGTGGCATTTTCGCGTGATTTTTAAATGCCAAATATTTGGGGTAAAAGTGTGCCAGAATGCAATTAGCAAGTTTGAAACGAGGCCAAAAAAAACATGCCAGCGACCGAATATCGGATATCAATGAAAATGTCCATAAAAATTTTTGACTCGTCAAAGTTAGAAACCCTACCATTTAAAAAAAATCCGGTTTTTTAATGTGTGAATAACGTTGCAAAATAGTCATGGATTGTGGGAAAGAATGTTGCGACATCAGCCAAAACTATGTGTTTTTAAAACAAAGCATTAAAAATGCAGAAATGTAAGCTAGAACGTAAATTACCTAATATTACCGTTCAAACCTAATAAAGTAATATGTAGAATGTTCAAATATCCGTTGAAGCCTTGATAAATAAGATAGGTAGTATTGCCAATTAAATGGGCGGAGTCATGGATGAGCATGTTGAGTCTTAGAATGTTCCCTTATTTCAAAACGTCCAGCATAGCAATATTAGACATAGCGCATTCAGATGTCTCAGTAAAATGTTATACTTTTCATACAGTGAATAATCGGCATGTTATTCGACAGCTGTAATCAAGATTTTCTAGCAAATGATTATTAGAATTAGCCAACAGCTGCAGAATTTCACGCACACATAGGATCTATAGTATAGCGAATGAATATATGATGACATGAAGACTTTGCAAAATTCTAGACTAGGATTTCACAATTTTGTTACACAAGTCTAGTTTCATTTTGTTGAAATCGCCGTTATTTTGGTTTCAGACTAAATTTTTATTCCCAATTTGGGAAACTGATTTCTTGGCCGCGAGACGCATCGTTACTTTTTTTCGATTCTGTTTAACTGTTTCATGTCTGCCACAATTTTTATCAAATTGATCATCATTACCTGACAACTAACTACTTTCTCTTATCACTTTTGCCGTTTCGTTGCGCGTTATTCCTGGACATCATTAAACCCGAATTTTGGTGATTGAACTTTGAATATATATATATTTTTTTTGCTGCACTATGTTGCAATACTTCATGATTCTCTTTTTCGTAGTTTTGTCGTAGTATTCCCGACACTATTCACTGCATACATATATACACATAGGCTTCCCAAAAACTTCCGTTCGTTCACACTCAATTGTTGGTCGGGAAAGGGAAAAAGAGGGGGGGGAGAGGCGTTGGCTCATGTTTGACGTGAATGTGTACAATTATCCGACCGTGTGTCATGTCGGCTTCTGTCAAAGCAACCGTTTTTTATGACTGCCTGTTCGCGTGCCCGATTTTGCTGTTTTAAAATAACAGTCACCAGCCCCCCCCCCTCCCTTGAATGCCAGAACTTGGTCGCTTAGCAGATGTCTATTTGTTGCGTGGGTCAAATTAATGTCCTCTTGTGTGAGGCTAGCGCACATTTATCTCGCTTGCAAAGTGCATTCCTCTAGATTCCATGTTTTTTTTTCTCAACCTAGCTGATTCACTATCAAACCGGTTGCCGGAAATCGTTGAAACTGATATAGTCATTAACTATACAAAACCATAACACTAAAAAATTGGAAAGAGAAGAAACGGAGAAGTGAGGGAGAGAGAAGATCGGCACCTGTCATTTCAATTTTTGGGACTCGCTCTCTTTCTTTTATAAACCATTGTACCTATATATGTACTTTATTGCTATGTATTTCAACCAAAACCGCATCACATTATACCCTCGTTTGTCAAAATGTCTATTGTCTGCAAACAATAATTGCCTGAACTTTTGCCCCGTCAATGTTTTGATTGCACTATTCCTCGCCAATAGTTTTTTTTTGTATTTCAACATTCATGAGACTGTGCGCAAACCAATGATGTGTACAAATTGTTACTATCATTGAGACCCCATGCTGGTGTCGGTTTCTCCAGGTGTTTTCCGACATTCATATGTCGGGAGTTGCACCGGACTATTATGTAGGTTACTCACCTGTCGCTCAATATATTTCTAAATGAATACGATTTTTAAGGACATTTTGATCGAGAAAAAAAATGCATTTGTAAAGCAGAGAATGCAACGAGAAACATTAATATGAACATTTACTTTAATGCACCCACTTCTTCATGTTTTCATTCTTTTTTTTTCGTCGTCCTTTTCTATGGTGTTTTTCCTCCCAATTTTCATATAGTTTGTATAATGATAATAGAAAAGGGATATTAGTATAAACACTCGAATATCTTTCGTCACGGTGTGATATATGAGCAGAAAAGATTTGTACGCAATCATTTTTCGCCATCTTTTGTATACGCATAATTACGCAGTTATCACGCGCGCCAATCAGCCCAGCCAATCAGCGAGTGTTATTGTTTCGCAGCATTCCATCACGAATAGTTCAAAATTCGAACGCATATATTATAAGTGATAGGTCTTTTGGTTTCGTCCCGCCTCAGCGGTATGTCCCATTACTTCATTATGAGCAACAGATGTCTTTGATTTACATACATTGTAGAGCGGTGGAATCGTTCATTTTCATATCGCTGGTGTGGGCCTGACGAACAATTACAAAATTGTATGTCTCGCCTTCTTTTTTTTATCAAAGATGTAAATAATTGCCCAGAAATCGTTGTTGTGTTGCTTAGCTTCCACACATCTGCATTTGAGTTTTTTTTGTCCCCCCCCCCGTAACCTTGACTGGTGCAGATGGCTTTTTTCCCTTGACCTGGACATTTACCCAAAACCCACCAAATTTCTGATTTTTCTCATTTTGAATTAGGTTTTACTCCAATCTCATTGCAGATGTTTCTTTGGCCCAAATAGGGTTTTATTTTGCTTCTCAATTTTGCAAATTCTCCCAACATCCTTCTACTTTGTCAATAATGATTTTAATAATCGGGCCACATCGTTGCATTTACGAGCCCAATCCTTTTTAATAATTCATTTCTTTCGTCGCTCCCGAAATCTGCAACGTTTACCCGCACCATAATAACATGTTTTCAGGGGATTGGTATTCAGATGAGATGCAAATTGCACTCGCTCTACTACTTGCACTAGTTTTCGGGAGCCCAACGGCGTTAATACTAGGTAGGCTCGACATTGAAATTTTTGTGAAGAGGGGGGGGGGCGAAATTCCAAAAACAAAGAGATGTTTTCTCACTTCCAACACACAAACACACTACACAAATTTTGCGATGGTGAATTATTCAGAACATTGTGATGAGAGAGCACTTGGTTTGGCAAGTGGACGGATTACGGACGCACAAATAACAGCTAGTAGCAGTTTTGACAAACAGAGCGTCGGACCGCAAAATGCGAGGTAACGACGCCGCGACGCGTTGAAAACGATTATGCGAAGAAAATTGATGATTATTGATGTTCAGATTGCACTCGGAGCTCGCATCTGGTGCCTGGTGCCCGAAACCGCAGATCAATTCCAAGTCATACGAGTACTTGCAGGTAAACGGGTTTTTCTCGATTCCTGGAAAGGAAAAGTTGGCTGTTGCGTCATGAACAATAACTAATTGAGTAATTGAATTTTCGAAAATAAAAATGTAGAAATTCGGAAGATAATTGTTGCGGATTTCTTAATTCGTACACCAACCGCTGAAATTTTTATTTTTTAGATCAATCTCAATTCAACGTTCCTCATAACTGCTATTGAAACGCAAGGCAGATATGGTAATGGAACCGGTCAAGAATTCGCCAGTGAATATATGATCGACTACCTTCGACCCGGGTGTCAATGGATGAGATACACTAACCGCACCGGTCATATGGTATCGATGAAGACGTCATCCTAAAATAATTTACGATCTCGTTTTGCAGTTGATGACTGGCAACTTTGATACAGTGACCGTTGTTCGTCGCGCATTAGACCCTCCAATTGTCGCTTCAAAAATCCGCATTGTGCCGATGTCAAAAGTGACCAGAACAGTATGCCTCCGAGCGGATCTTCGCGGATGTGAGCATCACGGTAGAAATGAAAAACATATGTGCGAACGGGGGGAGACAATGAACATCAATTTCTAGGAATTATTTACTATTCGACTGCACCTGAAGGCTCAAGACTCAATGATCTTGATTTCAAGGACACTATTTTTGAGAATAGTCAACTCTTGACAGAATCGGGAATCCGAAGGTATAGCAAGTGACAGAAAATATCTTATTACTTTTTTAGGGGTCTTGGACTTCTTACTGATGGCTATGTTGCTCATTCCTCGCCGTTCGAAAAGAGCCAGAAGAATGCTAGTTGGATCGGATGGCATAAGAACAGTGCGAGTATGGCCAAAGTCATTTTTCAAAATGCAAAATGAATTTGCTTTATAGGCGGTGTTGTTCGGATTCTATTTGAATTTGGTGAACTTCATAACTTCACCGATGTCACCCTGGCAACATACGGAAATCGTGTGAATCAAATCAATGTGATCTTCAGTCAAGATGGTACTAATTTCCCATTGCACACCGAAATCACTTCAAGCGAGCCAATCTCTTCAAATAGCACAAGTCGAATGTAAGAAAGGTTTTGTTGAAAAATTGATAATTTTCAAAATTAAGGTACTATTTTCGTGTTCCCCTTCATCATCGCTGTGGGATCAAAGTTCGAATGACAATTAAATTTTCATCTGAATGGATGTTTTTGACCGAAGTTCATTTCAATTCAAGTAACTTGATAGGACATACTTCAAAGAATGTCTGAAATTAATTTTCAGCTCTAGCTTCAAATATTACATCGAGTACGATAAAAGTTGCGGTCCCTCCATCAACGGAAAATAAGAAGATGATGGTATTGGGTGGTGTTATATTTTTAACCCTTCTCTCATGCGTCGCCCTCTGCGTCACAATGTTTTTGAGAAGAAGAAAATATTCGGAGAAGAACTGCGATCAGGTGCGAATTTCATCAATGAAATTTGAGGAACCAATCATTTTAGAATTTGAAGAAGGATCTAATTATTACTCATATGGGAAATAAGCCGACGTGCCATGTATTCCCATCGAATAAGATCTCACGAGCTCCATATGAAATGGCAAATGATATTTATTTTGCGAAATCTCAAAAGTCAACACTGTTAAGGTAATTTTAATTTTCAGCTCAATTCCGATCCTCAATCAAATTTTTGCAGTGTTTCCTCAAAGAGTACGAGTTCGTATCGACCACTTCCACCAACATGGAGCGAATTCAACTTTCCACCTCCACCACCAGCTCCACTTATTAAAGGTAATCTATTTCAGCGAAAATGTTTGGTTTTTGACAATGGTATTTCCAGAAGAGCCAGTTTATTCACAGCCGTTGAGTCCGGGAAGCAACTCATCAATGCGGAGAACTCCAATTTCATATGATATGTAAGAAGACTAATATCCACGAAAAATTCCATTCATCAATTTTGCAGAAAAACCTATCCATCAAGCTCATTAATGATAGGAAAAACTATTGGTGAGGGCAAATTCACGTATATTAAAGAGTGTATTATCTTCGGTGGAGTGAAAGTTGCTCACAAATCAACTAAAGAGCCAAATTGTATTCATGGAAGGTAGCTGAGACTAATATCGAAGTGATGCATGTAAAGAAATATTTTAGAAGAGCATTGAAGGATGAATTCGCAATGCTAACCAAGTGCGGCAAACATCCAAGAGTGGTAGAGCTGATGGCAATCGATGAGCATTTGAACCTTCTTCTTGAACACATCGAATTGGGAAATATCAATGTTTTCATGCAAACCACACCAACACCGCTTGAGTAATAAACTCTCTCATTTTAAAGTGTAAAATATTAATTGCAGCATTGACTTCCTTCTTTCAATTTGCTCTGATGTTTGCGAAGGAATGGCACATTTAGAGCAGCTCGGCATTGTTCACGGTCATTTGACAACCAACAACATATTGTTGACAAATGATTTCCGTGCGAAAGTATGTAATTATCAACTCAAACAAAAAAACTTCCTCGTCTAAAATAAATACTAAAAAATTGTTGCAGATTTGCTCTCCGCGAGGCCCAGCTCATCACGCTCAGCTGCGATACTCGGCTCCGGAGTGCATTGTCGCCGTAAGAAATTCTTTCAAATACTTTCAGACTTTTGTTTCTTTTTTTTGCAGAATGAATTCACTCATAAATCTGACGTTTGGTCGTTTGCCGTTTGCGTTTGGGAAATGAGCTATCAATGTCGACTTCGGCCATTCGAACAATTATCAAACGAGCAAATTGTTGATAACGCGTGCGCGCTTCTTGAAAATAGACCCAATACGGTATTCAAATAAGACGTAAAATTAGAAAAGCAAAATGTATTGTTTAGGTTACTTTGGAATACCCGCCGATATTCAACAACGACCTGCGCCGGTGCCTCAATCAGTCTTTCAATGTGAATCGAGTCGATCGGCCAACATTCGAAAAGCTGATGAAACTTCTTTCCTGAGTTCACCATTGATCTAATATTATTACGAGTACTTTTAATATGTATAGTATGGCGCACCGAGTGCCATACTTTGATCTGCGCGTCTGCCGAGTTGCGACAGCAGCCGACAACTTGTGACCGTGGAACAATTCCGCGTGGCACGCTGATTTTTCGATCGCATCTCTACATTTTCGCATTATTTACTCGTTATCTTCTCTGTTATTGACCGTCATTTATTTGCAATATGCCACCTTTTTGACTTTCTTAGCTTACCGTGACCTTTGGTTCGTTCAGGCCTATTAATTTAAAATAAGTTTTATAGGAGTTACGTGTAATTGTTTACATTTATCGAAATAAATTTGAGATTTTTTGGTTAAATTGCGGATGTTTTTGAGCAGGATGTAGTTGAAATTGTCAATCTAGCGGCAATGATGGAATAGGTCGCTTATACTATTGTTATGAAAAAAAGCCACGAGGTTTGTGTAATCGAAACGGCAACATTATTTAGCGTGACCTCAATCTTTGATGCCGTTGAATTTGTTAGACAGCTTTTTCTTAAAGTCAGTTTTTTATTTATATTGATTTCGATCGAAAAAGGGAAATTATGTGCGATTTAGCTTCATCTTTCCTAAGACCATCGCAGCCTCAAAAAACGGATCTCTGAAAGAAACATTTTATATATTTGTTTTCTTCGAATCATCTTAAAAATTGTTCTATTTGTCTGCGGAGACCGTCTCATTTTGCGAGAGAAGTTCATAGAAGATCAGAAACCAATCGCGTGCATACGATGAGGGGAAGAAGAGTATTCCCGAAGAACACCTTGATATACCGCCCCCATCAAAACGCATCTCTCAATATGGGCATCAGTCATTATCAGTGCTTGCGTGACCATAAAATCAGCCCCTACGTGCCTCGCTGCTTCACTCCCCAAATGATCGTTGCTTCATCGTTTTGTTACAAAAAAAAAAATGAATGGTTGAGTTGATTTGACATTTTTAGATTTTCAGATGGCCCCGAATCCACAACCGAAAGCGGAGCAGGCGTCAACCCCACTTCCACTTCTTAGCAAAGATGCTCCGGATATTGAGGTGAGTAGTGAACAATGTTCGACGAACTGTCTGTAAATGTGACAATTGAAAATTCTACTTTTGCAAATCTTGAAAATCTAATAGAATAATGGAATACCAAAGTATCATGGTCATTTTTTTGTCTTTTGTATCGTCTCAATGAATTTCTGATAAGATAATCAACCGGGCACGTGTAGTTCGCCGATACACCGTGTGATAAGAGAACCGAATTATCAACGATTTTGTCTCAAATTCTTGAAATCTAATGATATTTCCCTCGGGGTGTATCTTATCAAGCAATCTCTGCTTGATTCTTTAATTCATTATCAGAACAGAAAATGATTGGCGAATCGTGATCTTGGAAATGATAAAATTTTACAGAATCTCCTTCTCCTAAACCCGAAAGTCAAACCAACCGCAAATGCTGTCCCAAGTTTGGTGACGAAAAAAGTGAAACATCACTGGAAGCGGAATGACGAGAAAGGATGTGGAGCTGTAATCTGAAAAAAAGAAATGAAACTTATAGAGTTCCAAGTTTTCAGGGTTGTGGAGAATCGAAATTGAAAAATGATTTCCGTGATATCAAGCACACCACTTTGAGTGAACGCGGGGCATTGAAGGAAGCTCTTAGGTGTGAAAATATTAATCAAATTGAGTTACAGATGATATTTATTAATGGTGGCCGTGGACGAACTTGGTGAAATCCTAGTCGGCCACGCAAATATAATTTTTCCATTGAATTTTTGCAAATTTATTCGGTTTTCTAAACTATTTACTAGTTTTATTTAGATGCCTCAAATGTGCCGATGCTCCGTGCCAGAAATCATGCCCAACTCAGCTCGACATCAAAAGTTTCATCACAAGCATCTCCAATAAGAACTATTATGGCGCCGCTCGTCAAATTCTTTCGGATAACCCACTTGGATTGACATGCGGAATGATTTGTCCAACTTCGGATCTCTGCGTTGGCTCGTGCAATCTGCAAGCAAGCGAGGAAGGAGCTATCAACATTGGTGGCCTTCAACAATTCGCGTGCGACGTTTTCAAAAAAATGAACATTCGCCAAATCGTTTCGAAGGAAATCCGCGAAAGTCGCAATGATTCTCACAAGGAGCAAATCGCATTGATTGGATGCGGTCCGGCTAGTATTTCATGCTCATCATTCCTTGCTCGTCTTGGATACACCGACATTACGATTTATGAAAAACGAAAGTATATTGGAGGGCTCAGCTCAGCGGAAATCCCACAATTCCGCCTCCCATACGATGTTGTGGATTTCGAAATTCAATTGGCTCGGGATATTGGTGTCAAAATTGAAACCAATCGGTCTCTTCACACTTCTGATATCACCTTGGAAAATTTGAAAGTAATAGCCAATCAAAAAAAAGTGAAAACATTTGTTAATTATAGGAACAAGGAGCAAAAGCAGTGTTCCTAGGAATTGGAAACCCAGAGCCAAAGGTTGATCCAATGTTCGAAGGGCTCTCCATCGACAATGGTTTTTACACAAGCAAAAATTATCTTCCTTTGGTTGCTGCTGCTAGCAAGCCCGGAATGTGCGGATGCAAGCGCACACCTCTTCCAGCTCTCCGGGGTAGAGTTGTTGTTCTGGGTGCTGGAGACACTGCAATGGATTGTGCGACATCAGCCCTACGCTGTGGTGCTTCTCGTGTCACCATTGCATTCCGTAAAGGCTTCACTGGAATTCGCGCGGTTCCGGAAGAGGTAATTCTTTTTTATGGTTGATGTGTTTATGACAATTTTTTCAGATGGAAGCCGCGAAGGAAGAGAAGTGCGAATTCCTTCCGTTTTGCGCCCCACGCAAAATTAACGTCAAAGACGGACGAATTGTCTCCATTGAATTTGCAAAGACTGAAGTTGATGATGATGGAAAATGGTAACATTTATCAATGATATCGTTCAAAACTGGTTTTAATTTAGGTACGAAGACGAGGAGCAAAAGATTGTTTTGAAATGCGACTATGTCATTTCCGCGTTTGGATCAACTCTTAAAGACAGCGAAGTTCTGAAAGCCCTTGAGCCGCTTAAACTTAACAAATGGGGAGGAATCGAAGTCGATCCTGAGACTCAGCAAACATCGGAACCATGGGTATTTGCTGGTGGTGATGTTGCTGGAGTTGCCGAGACCACCGTCGAATCAGTCAATGACGGTAAAATTGCCGCTTGGAATATCCACAGATATATTCAATCGCTCTATGGAAGAGACGTGGGAACTACTCCACAGCTTCCAAAGTTCTTTACCCCAATCGATGAGGTTATTTTTTTTTAATTCTCAAAAATGCATAATTTTTGCTCAATTTCAGGTCGATATTTCTGTCGAGATGTGCGGCGTCAAATTTGAAAATCCATTTGGTTTGGCTTCGGCTCCACCAACGACTTCTGGACCAATGTGTCGTCGTGCTTTCGAACAGGGATGGGGATTCATTCTCACAAAAACCTATGGACTTGACAAGGATTTGGTAACCAATGTCTCTCCAAGAATCGTTCGTGGATCAACTAGCGGACCCGTTTATGGGCCCAATCAGTCGTCGTTCATGAATATTGAATTGATCTCTGAGAAATCGTGCAAGTATTGGCTGCAATGCATTCGCGAATTGAAGCGTGATCATCCGACAAAGATTGTGATCGCTTCCATTATGTGCACATATAATAAAGACGATTGGGTGGAATTGGCGACGAAATCCGATGCTGCTGGTGCTGACATTCTCGAGCTCAATCTTTCATGCCCGCACGGAATGGGCGAAAAGGGAATGGGATTGGCGTGCGGTCAAAATCCCGACATTGTTCGTCAAATTTGCCAGTGGGTTCGTCAATGCGTGCGGATTCCATTCTTCCCAAAGATGACGCCAAATATCACCGATGTTCGCGAGATTGCTCGTGCTGCTCGTGATGGCGGAGCTAGCGGAGTCACCGCAACCAACACGGTTTCGACTTTGATGCATATGAAGGCTGATGGCACATCTTGGCCAGCGGTTGGTGTTGCCAAGCGGACCACCTATGGTGGAATGTCGGGATCTGCAATTCGCCCAATTGCAATGAAAGCGGTTTCTTCAATTGCTAACGAACTTGATGGATTCCCAATAATGGCAACTGGAGGAATTGAAAGTGCTGAAACGGGATTAGGATTTTTGATGGCTGGAGCTTCCGTTCTTCAAGTGTGCTCCGCAGTGCAAAATCAAGATTTTACCGTTGTCGAGGATTATTGCACCGGGCTCAAGGCGTTGCTCTATCTTGCGGTAAACTGATTATATCAACTTTTGGTGAAAAATATGTATTTTTTCTTCATTTTTCAGGGTGCTGAATCGCTTAAAGAATGGGACGGACAATCGCCTCCAGTCGAGAAGCATCAAAAGGGGAAACCAATTCTCATTCAGGGGGAAAAGGTTGAGAGATATCAAATTTAATATTCTTATAATTACTGGCTGCAGAAACTTCCATTCTTCGGCAAATTCCGCGAGGAACGCGAGAAGAAGGAAGCAGAACTCCTTGCAAAATCAAACCTTTTGGACGCTGAGAAGGTTCACTTTGCTTCGCGCCCGGACACGAAAGTTTTGGCGGTTCCAAAAATTAGCGATGTTATTGGAAAAGCTCTTCCAAGAATCGGACCATATGTTACGTTGGATAACAAACTCCAAAAGGTTGCGATAATCGACGATGTAAGTGAAATATTGAATAGATTCGAAAGTGATAATTCGATTTTCAGGACATGTGTATCAATTGCGGCAAATGCTTCATGACTTGCAACGATTCCGGATATCAAGCAATTACATTCGATGCGGTGACTCATCAGCCTCATGTTACCGAGGATGACTGTACCGGATGCACATTGTGCTATAGTGTTTGTCCAATTCCGGAATGTATTCAAATGGTGCCAAGAAGTGGACCATGGAAAGCGCCGAAGCGTGGCGTTGTCCCAGATTTTGAGCCAGGCACTCCAAAAGTTGTCAAAGTCGATGCTAGAGGACGTGTTATCATTGAGACCACCGGAGGCATGCAGTAACTATAAATTCTCTCTCTCTCTATATATATATATAAGTTAGTATATGTAATATCAAATAAATATTTTGCAATTAATGTCAAGTCGAGTAGGCCAACTCTTCAAAAGGTAGGCTTACTTGAAATTATTTGGTTCAACTACCTCTTGACTATACATCCGGCATGTATAAAAAGAAAAATGTGAAAAGAAGAAGAACAAATAATTCGACTGAAATGAATACGTGATCGTGAGAAAATGGAATGATGTCTCCTCAGAATATTCAAGATATGCAAATTATTATAACCGTTATTAAAGCTGATACTATATATATATATATATATATATATATATATATATATATATATATATATATATATATTATATATATATTATATATATATATATATATATATATATATATATATATATATATGACATTTGCTTTTTATTTTTATGCTTCATTTTGAATTCTCCCCTTTAATTCCAACTTTCATCTAGATAAAAATTCTGAGAATTCAATGCACTTTATGAAAAGTGAAAGGTAGAAATTACCTAGTATACCGGTATTCATATCCAGTTTCCAAGTTTCCGTGGAATATTCAAAACTTCTCAGGAACAATCAAAATGCTCAATTCACAAAAATTCGAGCGTCTCTTCTTTGTTTTTTTATTGGTACCAAAGAGATTTACCATATAAGCCGATAACACTAGGGTGAAAATGCTTCAAATATTCGCTTTTGCGCAATCATGATCATAAATCAGCAGCACAACTAGTGGCACTCCGAGACTTAATAAAAATCATATCATCAGTTAGTTAAATGTTGAGTTGTTTGTTTTTTCCACTATTCTCAAAACTTTCTGGCATGCCGCCAAGTGGCGCATAGCCTCCATTCCTTTAACAAATAATATATTTGCTCAAAACCACAGCTACTGATAAAGTCGCCAACATTAGATCCTTTCAGAGTGTTTGCCCTTTCGTTTGTGAATGTTTCGTTTTTCAATCCGAGATGTCTCCCGTTGTGGTTTTGTCACGTATTTACCCAGAAAACCTTCCCTCCCGTCAGAACTATGCCATCATTTATTGCCACCTGGTTAGCCGCAAACAATGCGCATTCCGTTACGGTGCTGCCAAAAACACGATGATTGCTGGTACGCTGAACAAGGCGGACGGCGTTCAGCGTGATGGAAAGACGATCGAATAGGAGAGGGGGCAAGGTCATTCGAGGTCGCGCGATGAGTGTGAGGTGAGTGACGGTCGAGGTCCGTTGGGGGACCGGCCATCCGATTTTTGTGTTCGCCCTACCTGTGCACGCGGCGACCTCTTGTCGGCTTTTTTCGTCGTCGTCGTCGTCGTCCTTCTTCCGATCCTCTCCCTGCAAGCCGTTGAGGTCGAACGCGGGTGCCGCAGTGAACGCAGAGAGTCGATTGTCTCTCATCGCATTGCACACTGTTTATTTGTCGTCTCCATTCTCTGGCTCGCTTCACTCGGATTCGTAGGTGAGGCGTACGAATTTTTTTTCTTGTGCGCTGCGTCTCCATCTACCTGATGTGATCCAAGTGGATCTTTCATTCGCCTCATCATCGTCTTTTGCCTCGATTCGGACAACACAAACACGTACGCGGAATATACACACAGAAAACTGTTCGAGTGACGCTCGCTGAACGAAAAGGAAATGAGACGGATGACCTTTACCACCACCTCTTACCCCCTTTTAGAATAATGACTGGTGTTCGACTTTAATCCGAAGGAAATCGCCTCATCTTTCGCCATTCTTTGTCCCCATTTAGTTCTTGTTTTTACCGTTAGGCCACATCGCCAAGCAGCCGCTGTTTCACATTGTGATTTGTTGTGAATTAAAAAAAGAGTTTCCTGAATGTGTCGCGACATGGACCAAGTGTGTTCAATTCCTATCTCTTGTCATTTGTTTCCTGTTGTAACAAAAACACGACTTTTAGTTAACTCGAATTAAATATATCTAGAAAACACCAAAACATTTCAAAAAAACAAATTTTTTATTTTTAGTTGAAGCTGGTGGTCAAACATTGAACGAAAATACAGTACATTATTTTTGTATAGTTTTTTATGTTTACTTATTGTTTTACGAAACATCCCAGTTCTGAATCAGCAAACATTCCTTCTAGCACTTTCTATTTACTTTCACATATACATACATAGTCTTGGTTTCATGGCTTTTCCGCATTCATTTTTTTTTTCGCTAAACCTGCCTCATACACATACGCTTGAAAAACATCAACTCCCTGCGTTTTTACATAATTTTCCGTGTAATCAGCATTAGCGTCGGCAGCAGATAAGAGACGGCACGCATAAGTGCTACAACAAATTTTTTCGGCCTCGACAACTTGAGCAAATCGACCGGGCCGGTCCTATGGGCGAAATTGTCTTGTTTCAGCCGATATTTATTCAAAAGTCGCATCGGCATAATCCCTCTTTTTCTTCTGTTTTTCTAACGAAAATTATGTTTGCAAGTGCATTTGTGTGCGTATGCTCGCGCGCATCAACTTGACATTTGTTATTTCATGATTTTTACAGCGAAACATCAAACATTCATGCAATTTTCACATTGTGTTACGCAAAATCTGAATTAGAGTTGAAGTTTCTCTTTTAAGAATTGTCCTTCTTCAATTCATGTCCTTGAATAGTTTCCATGAAGAATATTCTTAATATTTTTTAAGCATCATCAGTATCTAAATTTATAACTTAATATTTAGAATATTTCAACATTATAATTATATTTCTCTGTTCTAATTGAACTAACTTACTACTATTCCTCTTGTTATTTTCCATATATCTTCCTTAGCCGGGCATTGTCAAGAGATTTCCAAACTTTCAATTTCAACACAATGAATGCGCGAAAATCATACTCAAAGACTCCCTGCTGATTTTATAAGGCTTCGATAGATGGCGCCGCAATTCGGACAAATCGAATGTTCAAGTTCCTTCTTGTGTTTCATTCTATAATTAACACCGCCGTCCGACGCTACTATTTGTTTGACGCCTCGGCGTTCCTCTCCAAAAGCATTGGAGACAGTACAGATTGGCTAACAAGTCGCGCTAGTTGACACCTGATCTCCATTCGACGTCCGTCTACATCAACACCATTACCATATTCTCCTTTATTGTGTTTGTCATGATAATATTTGTTGAGAAACTGTTGTGCAAAGTTGTATTGATCGGTCAATTCGTCGCGCCCAAGAAGGAATCGGGGTTAGGACGCTGTCAACAATATAGAAAAAATTGTTGATGATGGAAAGAGACGCCGTGTGTTTTCAATAAATTTCGGGTATGCCTTGCCGGCGGCCAATTTTATGGCTGCACCGCTGCTTACATGCATTATCATCGCTTCTTCGGCCTGATGCCTCCACATACGGTCGAGGCAAACACACGCACACACAGACAAACACCTTTTGCGCCGATTTGATCGGCTCAATCACCACCGGTTTTATCGCCAATACGACGTGGCTTCTGCGATGCTTCTCTGGTCTCACAGTTTTCGTTAGCTGCTATGTATGTATTTTTGGAATTAGATGTAGCCAATGACTGACTAAATGTCTGTTCTTTTAGTTACATTGTTGGCAAATAGTCTCAGTTTGATTTGTGCACTTCATTTTTCGCATCGTACACAATTCTATGGAAGATACAAATGATGACTAATGTCCAAAAAAACATGTGACGCGCTGTTTCAACCATCCATCCTTTTTTGAATATTATGATTTTGTTGCCGACGGGGCGGTTTGTGATTCACAACATGTCCATCTTTCTTTTCTTTCGTCCACTACAGTTTGCGTTTTTACGTTACGACATTGGCGTCCGTCCTTGCCACACTAATTTTTTATTGCCAAGTTGTTATTCCGCCGCTCTCCCTTCCCTCCCCCCCCCCGGTTGCGAAATGTATAGTTTTGATTACCGGCTGGACGATCTGTCCTTGTCCGTCTATATCTGATCGGATAGAGATACTAATCTTGAATTACACGCGATCGGTCGATATTTATTTCTACCTCTCGCTGCCGATCCGTACCCATCGCATTTTGCATTTATTTGATTCGACTTGTTTTCTTTAACACCTCAATTTTCAATTTTTCAGCGATTGTTTATCGAGATAATGAAAAAGAGAGAATAAGAAATCATGTTGCCAACACGAAGTACAGGTAAGAATTATTTTTTTTTTCTCTTTGGGTTTTTTTTTTCAATTATACATAGAATGATAAGATTTTCATGCATTAAATTCCATTCCGATTGAGCGTATTGTGTTTGTCTAAGCAACAGTGCCGTAGTATGAGAAAACAATCTGTTTGCATGTTGGCGACCGTCCTCGTCAACCTTCTCGTACATTCCACAGAATCATCTTCTTGGTTTTCTCAAGAGTGAGAGAATGAAAGGCTCGCGGAGGACGGATACAGTTTGATGAGTCATGCATGACTGTTTCCGATGCAGCACACATTGATATTTATTTATAAATATGCGCGTATACATTTGAATAGACGGCGAAATGAGGGAAATCGTTGGGATCGTAATTGTTTCGCGCACGATGATGACTCATTGCGATTAGATGTTGCGGGATAAGAATTTCACAATTTTGCAGAAGCGCACCATGCATTGGAACTCATTGAGGAATACCATTCTCAATTGACGCGACACAGCGATGAGGAGCTTCGCGGAAACTTGGAGAAGCTCATCAACACATTTAAAACGAACCTGTTCAACACTCTACTTGGTATTCGTCGATGATGAAACGTTGTAGACCACGATCATTTTCAGAATTGCACGAATTATATGAAGGAACGCTGCTCAATGAGCGCAAATCCTATTTGCAAAAAATTAGCGAGGTGAAACGCATGCTTGAGAAGTTGGACCAAAGTCCGGCATTCTTTCTCAAGCCGTCTCGGACGACGTCCAACACGAATTTGCAATACACTAGCACAACACCGTTGGCATCTGATTTGCGGGATCGTGGCGCATTCTCCTATTTGGATGGAGGAAATAGCATTGGTAACGGTGTTTTGACGACGACAACGCCATACACACATTCGTCGTCGAGCCATATTCTTCATGAGAGAACACGCCAAACGGTAGGACGTTTGAGATTCACTAAGTTTCACTGCAACCGATTTTTTCAGAGCCATGACGGTACCTGGAAAGAAACCACGACAAAAATGGTGGATACTCCAAGTGGTGTTGAGCGTCGCACATTTGAGGTACAATTTTCTATTCTTTTTTTTTTCAATTTTAATATTTTACGTTTATTTCTAGCATACTGGAGTCATCGATGAATACGGAAGAAAATGGGAATTGGAGAACGTTATTCTTGAAAAAGGGCACACCGGTCTGGGTTTCTCAATCACTGGAGGTTGATCAATTTCAGTGTTTACGATGACAGCAAAAATATCTTATTTAGGAACTGACCAGCCAACAGAAGATGGCGATACCGCTATCTATGTAACAAATATTATTGAAGGAGGTGCGGCGCTAGCTGACGGGCGCATGAAGTAAGATAGTATGGGTTTTATTATAAACATAAACATCAAACTTCAGGAGAAATGATATTATTGTATCAGTTAATGGCATTAACTGTGAGGGAGTTAAACACGAGGTTGCTGTAAATGCTTTAAAGAATGCTGGAAATGTGGTTTCATTGGTAGGAAAAACACTGCTCGACGAGCACAAAGTCCATCATTCATTTATAGGTGCTGAAACGCCGTCGAGATGAGAATTCCGCTCCTCTTCCAATTGGAGGCTTTGGTGGATCGACTAGCGCCCTTCGCAACGGATTAACACCATCATTGAGCACTGGCAACTTGACACATTCAATGCATTCGCCGACGATCCCTCATCATCCGCCGCCGCCGCCACCGATTCATCACGGATCATTGGGCCAATTATCAACGTCGCAATATCGCAATCGTCCCAACACACAACTCGTTGAACTTTACAAGGGATCGACCGGATTAGGATTTTCGATTGCCGGTGGTGTTGGAAATGAGCACATTCCTGGTGATACAGACATTTTTGTCACCAAGGTTATCGAGGGTGGTGCTGCGGACACTGATGGACGCCTTAGAGTTGGCGATAAAATATTGGAGGTTCGTAATTCCTCGAAATCGCCCAATTTTATTCAAACTACTCTTAGGTCGACAATATTGCTTTAAGCAATGTTTCTCATGAATATGCGGTTGACGTGTTGAAAAATACTGGAAATCGTGTACGTCTGTTGATTCAGAAGAATAATGGTCAGTTCAATGATTCCGCGAGCCAGCAATTCGTTCCAACTACTCCAATCCTTCGACGTAATTGAAAAAAAAAAACAAATGCGGTCCAAATAGATTTAATCATTTTCAGCGAGCTCGGTTCAAGATTTTAATAGATCGTACGATTCACAATCACATCTTGGATACTCACAGAATACACCTGTTGCTATCCCATTGGATCCAAGAACCGTCACTCTTTACAAAGGTCAAAATGGATTAGGATTCAACATTGTTGGCGGAGAAGACAATGAGCCAATCTACATTAGTTTTGTTCTTCCTGGAGGCGTTGCTGAACTCAGTGGAAATGTGAAGACTGGAGACGTCCTGCTTGAAGTCAATGGCGTCAACTTGCGTGGAGCTACTCATCGTGAAGCCGCCGAAGCTCTTAGAAATGTGCAGAATCCGGTCCAACTAGTTCTCCAATATCGACCGAAAGGTTTTTCTTTCATTTTTCAAATAACTCACCAATGCTTATATTGTTTCAGAGTATCAACTATTCGAATCAAAAATTGAAAAGCTGCGTAACGATGTGATTTCGCAGTCAAAGTTGAATACCTTACCGCGACGTGAGCACTATGTAAGAGCACTGTTCGACTACGATCCATCTCGCGAGAATTCCGTGGCTCCTCACAGATCCATGTCATTCAACTATGGAGATATTCTTCATATCATTAACTCGTCTGATGATGAATGGTGGACAGCTAGAAAGGTAATAAATACAAAATAACAGTTTAGTGAAAAAAAAATTTCCTAAAGGTTCTTGAAAATAATGAGGAAAGCGCTGAAGGAGTTATCCCTTCGAAGAAACGAGTTGAAAAAAGAGAACGATTAAGAAGAAAGCAAGTCAACTTCAACGCGGGATCGCAATCTCTTGGACGAAACTCATCGACTGGTTTGGAGCACCGTCGCGGAAGCCGAAGTCAGCTCTCGTTCTCCAGAAAGTTCCCATTCGTCAAGAGCACTGATCGCCTCAACGATCTTGCGGAAGAAGCTGCCAATATCAATGATGAGCCAGTCTTCTCATACCAAAATGTGGAACAACAGAACATCAATTATGTTCGGCCCGTCATTATTCTCGGTGCATTGAAGGATCGAGTTAATGACGAATTGGTCACAAGAGATCCGAATCAATTTGGAAGTTGCGTTCCACGTAAGATTTCAATAGTATCAAGGTCAATTCAAGAACACTAATAATTTTCAGATACTTCACGTCCACCGCGCGATAATGAAGTCGATGGCCGTGATTATCACTTTGTGCCAAAACACAAAATGGAGGAAGACGTCAAGAACAACCTCTTCATTGAAGCTGGACAATTCCAAAACAATTTATATGGAACCAGTATTCAAAGCGTTCGTGAAGTGGCCAATCAAGGGCGCCACTGCATCCTTGACGTCAGTGGTAATGCGATTAGAAGACTCCAAAGTGTCGCTAATATCCAACCTATCTCCATCTTCATCAAACCATCGTCTCCACAACAAATTATGTATGCTGATTTATTCAAAGCCTTGTGCAAATCAATGATTTTCTAGGGAACTTGATCGACAAATGGCGAAGACTATGCAAGACGAGCGACCACTTCTTGACGACGAAGCCGCCGCGCAGTACCAGAGATGCCAACGAATTGAGCAAACCTTTGGAGATCTTTTCACACGTACGAGAATTCAATTCAAGTTATATCATTTCTAAAATACCCATTTTCAGATGTGATCTCCAACGCTCAATCGGCCAACGAGGTGATGAACAAAGTCTATCAATTGATCAAGAAGGAATCGCAATCGCCAATCTGGGTGGCACGCAATTAAATATTCCTTGATTATAATTAAGAATCTCTAATATGTGATTCATGCTATTATTCAGTTGTATTCTTGACTGAGTAATTGCATAGTTATTTGTCATTTGCTTTACCCCGTTTCCTTTAGCTGAAAGTACATACACATGACTTTCTTAAGATCAGACCGATAGAGCTGTTCACAGCTTCAATAATGTAATGGCGAATCTTTGCTCATCAAATTAATTTCAAAATCATTTTTATTCACTAATCACTGCCACGAAAACCAAATTATGAAATCAATTATTTTATAATAATACTCATTAGTAATTGCATTCACTCACTTCTACACATCGTTGTGATACTTTATAATGTTCTCTTCTCATTTATTTGGACTTTATCGATTTTTCTTGATTTTTATTGACCAAGTTATTCTAATAAGGATATTTGAATAAATAAATTTATTGGAGAAGAGCTACTCGTTTCGTAGCCATTTAATATTTTACGAGATGATTGTATAGAATAATGAATTTTAACAATTGTATTTTCGCACGACTTTTACTTTCAAAACCCCAGCTTTAATTACATTCATTAGCTAACTAACATATGAAAAACAGAAAGAATATCATATAGTTATAAAAATACTAATAAAGTTAGTAAACACATCGAATTAATTATACAATATCGGGTAAGAGCTTGCAAAAATTAATTTTTTGATCGATATTCAGTAAATTTATAAAGCGGAGTCTCTCAACCATTTTTTATTCAGTTTTTTTTTTTTATCAATTTCACCTCGTTGTATTATTTTTCAAAAGAGTGAGGATATAAATTGAAATTTATTATAAAAAACGGAATTTAATTCTTAGAAATATTTATTTTTGAAATTTGCAATTTGTTTTTATGAGCTCTGATGCTGTGGACAAAAAGTTAATAAAATCGATTTTTAATCGTTTTTCTTTTTTGTTATCTGTTATCATATTTTTATTAAATACCACAACACACAATATTTTCTCGTTTATATATTCTTACGGCGTTGTGCGACTGCGGAAAATTGGCTAAGTGCCAAAAAAACCATAATACTGTTGGTAGCGCAAAATTAAGAGTGTGGATTTACGGGCCTATGCATAAGGAAAATTAAAGGGTATCGCGCACCGAGACCTCATTTTGAATATTTTTGGTTTTTAGCCAATTTTCCGCAATCCTAATTAATTCGATAAAATGATATGGATTATATTCTGTTGAGCAAATTAGCGGCAAAGTGTTGAAATGAAATGGCGTGGAAAACAGGTAATACATATTAATTTCGACCGATTTTTAAGTACTCAGTTTTTCTCACAAAATCATTTGTTTTGTGAAAACGATAAAGTTTACAATTTTTGCTAAGAAACTTCCATACCATTTCTAATAATCTTATAAATGAATAGGTGTTTTTAATTTCAGGTTCGAAACCATCGATCATTTTTTGATCTTTCTTATCTCAACCTTGTGCTGCAACAAGGTTTTTTCTCGTAGAATTGCCATCGCAGCCCGTGTTCAATTAGATCTACATGACAAGTAGCTTTATTTTGAAGCTATAACTTTTAAAAATTTAAAGAAATAGGTCAAATGAATTTGATAATTTGACACACTTCATTAGTCTTGTTCAGATTTGCCAATGTGTTTTTTGGAATATTTTTCATATTTATTCCAAAAAATAATTATTATGTGCAATAAAAAATTAAACGAAGGTGCAGATAAGTGATTAAATTAAACAGTAAATAAAAGAGAAACAAGAGAAAATAGTAAACAATTATCCAGTAACAAAGCAAATTTATGGTACTATACAGATTGGGGAAAAAGTCCAAAAACGCGGTTGCCCTAACGACCTATTCATGCAATAAAACTTTAAAAAAATATACAAATTTAAATGCACGTATTTGAAAAAAAATGCACATTTAACCCTTTCATTTTTGGTAAAATATACATTTAATGAATAGGTCCACTAAAACCATTATCAAATTACGAAAAACTAATTTAATCTGTTTTTTTTTTTAGTTTTTCCCCCAAAAGCTGTAGAGTGCCATTATATACTGAAATTGTTGCCGTTTGGATTAGAATGATAGAGGTCATGTTGAACTAAAAAAAGGAAAAACGAGTATATCAAGATAATACAGAAATCGACATCGAAATAGCAATAGGTATGTCTTTTGCGAGGAAAGGATGAAGGGAATATTTTGGGTACTCATACTTCAATTAAATACAGGGGTCTTTAAACCGGACAAGGTTTATGATACACACACCTGCATGTGTGATATAAATTTAGTGTCCAAACGAATTGAAGTAGAGCGTCTCATGAAGAACTGGGAAGCGAGAAACAAAGAGCGCCATTCGTCCATCACCACGGAGAGTCTGGCGCCGCTCTGCTGAAATACGTATGTGTCCGGTGAGACTAACCGGATCCTCAGCATTCGGGATTAACTGCAAATTTTAATTATAAATACTGATTTCTACATTATCGCTCTCACTCCAAAAAAGCGTCGAAGCGGATGTCGATCCTCATGAATCATAAAATGCCAGTGTAAATCTCTTTCAGCAGCAAATTCTGGATCAATGGCCTGCATCACACGACCAATTGGCGCTTTCTTTCCAACAGTGAATTTGATAAAATCATCATTCATTTTCCATGTTCCGTTCGTCTTTTCCTGCGAATATTTTTCCTCATCAACCGAATATGCTTGACGCTGCCGCGAGAAGTTAACCTTGAATCTGAGGGTTCCTGAACATTTTTATACAATTTTCTGTTAAACTATGGGGGATCGTACCATCCGCAAAGAACTTGATCGCAAAACGTTTTCCCTGTTCCCCAAGATAAACGCCGTTGAAGCGAACGCGAGGCAGATGAATGGCTTTTTCCTTTAAGGAAAGGCCAAGAAATTTCACCTTGCTGTCATCGTAATAACCATCAATGGCGTTCCGCCAAACAACATCTCTACTGAAAGTTCATTTAATTGGTCAATTATTGGTATACTCGTCTAACGGAACAAACCTAACAATCGAATTGAATCGAAGGCAAACTTGGCTCAGATTACGTAATGCGCTGGTATCCTTATCGTCTGCAGTGTGCGCGAAGATCTTCTCGACCAACTCTGTTGGAAGTTTGTCAAAAATGTTGCTATTCTCTGAAAAAAATTTCACAAATTAGTTGGAAAGTTTGAACAATTTCTATGTTACCAATAGGGGTAGTTGGCTGTTGTTTACTGGCCAATAGAATGGTTTTCATGCGGGCATCATTCACTTCCTGCTTCAAGTCCTCTGAAATGAAACGTTTTGATACGACCAAACAGATTTAACTTACTGTTCATCGCCATATCAAGGAAGGTATAGAAGACATCCTCAAGATTAAGCTGCTTATCTTTAGCAGAGCGATGGAGTTGTGTGAAACTGAAAAATGGTTTTAATTGAAGAACAAAGTCGAATATCGAACATTGCGCAAGCTTTTCCAATCTCATTCCGCGATAGATACTTTGCAGCCTCAACAAATGATGATCTATTCGAATTGGACTGCAAAAAATAATTGCTTGTTGCATGTTACTAGATTATGAATTACCATATCAATTTCTTTGACCCATAAATCGGCAAACTTGCATATCCTAACCCGGCAATCGGTTGGGATTGGCTGATTGATCTGCTTCTCCAGCTCATCAAAACATCCTTCAATGGTGTAGTTGAGCAGAGAAGACACCTCGCGATCGCACTTCTCGGTCAAACTGTAAACATGACATTCGTCAGGAACCTCCTCATCATTCTCGAGCCTCTGTTTCTTCGGATCTGAAGAACTCGCGCCAGCTTCTTCTTCTTCAACGCGGTCGCGTTTTTCGCTTTCGCGCTTAAGCTCGCGGAGAATTCTCTCCTGTTGAGCAGCCATTGCCTTAAGATTCATTCTGAAATCATTAATTCAAGGACAAAAGCGGATTTAAGCAAGAGCAATAGCGAACACGTGAATTGTCAATGGCGAAAACCTCGCCGTCTTGTTAACAATAAAAGCGAGGATGCGTTAGAATATTTAACGAAGACACGAAATTGGTCAGGCCTCAATGAGGAAAAAACAGACGAGAGCAATATGGGGGATACAATCTAAAATGGTAGCCAATAAATTGGGGATACCGAGAGTCCATTTTCAGACAAAAATTATATGTTTATGAGAATGCGACGGCGCGGACCGCTTTTTCGCCGTAAAAGAACAAGTGCAGAAGAAATAAATAGTATGATCAACCGAGAGGCTGCTATGCGGTTAGGCAGTGGACACGGAACAGACCGGCCCGGCAGCGGCCAATTCCCAATCGATAAGCGTCAAAAAATGCGCGAATGCCGAACATCGCCGGATAATCCCATGGTTACGCATGAAGGCAAAAACATGATTGGATGAAATCATATAAATTTTAAATTTTGTGGACAACATTAAGAAAAATTCACGAACGATAAAAAAAAACAAACTTAAGTGTAATGAACCCAAATGGGTTTTTGTGTTTGCAAAATTGTCGAATTTCTCATTTTGACCCATTTTTAAATTTGATACTAAGAATGAATATTTCGAATATTATGAATGACTGTAAGTAGGTCCAATACAATTACAAAAAATGTTAGACACAACTTTAGGGTACCCAAGAACTCCCTTTAATTCATTCTCGCTACTCGTTTCCTATCTAATGTTAATAGATTTTCTTTGTGAGTTAATTCCAAATTAGTAAGAGCACTTAGCAAACAAAGGAAATAATTAAGCATACATATAGTAAAGAAAGTTAATCGCCTTATATGTTATAGGCGTATATATATATGAATACCTGACATGCGGGAGAACCAAGAACGGAAAAGGCGTGAAGAATGCCGAATGAGCCGAACAAATAACAACTGGACAATACGAGCGTTGGTTTAGAGATGCGATGGGCGAAGGGTGGAGTTGCGATTAGAGAGCGTTGCCACGAAGCACGGAAAGAAGAGGGCGCGTCGAAAAAGAGCGTCGTAAGTGTTCAACGACAAGAAGGCAGAGGAATTATGCGGAGGCAAGTATGCTCTAATGCGAACATCAGTACATGTCTCCGGAGTAAAAAAAATCCAAAAGGGTTTGCAGTAAAGGGATGCTCTAATAGATTGTTTAGAAAAAATTTGATAAAGCAGTAATCTTGCAAAAAAACAACAACAAGAAATATAAATAGCATCTGCTCTAAAAAATTTGTCAACATTTATTTCCAGCAATTCCTTCGTATTAGTTGGATATTTCTCTTCATCTGAATATTTTTCAAGTAATGACCATTGTTTCAGAAGTAGAATTTGCGATATACGTCCTTTAAATTTCGGAGAGCAGACCATTTGAAAATTTATTATCTAACAGCAATTTATAGAATAATTTCTTACGAATTTCTCCGGCCCATATCAAAATTATCCCATCGGCATATATTTTCTGCGTCTCATTTATCTAAACAGCATTCTCTTTACAACAAAGAATGCGGCTTGCCGAAGGCAGCGTTGTAATGCGCTGTCGCCCCAAAAGATCATAGGGACACATGTGCCATAAATGGCAATGAAGAGAAAGGAGCAGTGTGAATGCCTTTCGCAAATCGAACTCATAGAAAAAGAAAGTGCTATGAATTCGCAGGTCACTATCAATCAAACATTGGGAATTGTGTGTGTTTATGGGAAATTTCATCACTATCCAACGCAGCAACTTTAGTTTTGATAAGGCATCAATCCGATTGCAAATTTCAAGACCTTCAAAAACAATAACTTTATTTTAATATGAGGGTCGTGTACAGGACAATAGGCACAACAGCGATAGCACGATTGAATTGAAATGAAACAAATTGAGATTGTCTGCTTATCGATGATATGTTGAGATACTTCAGTCACAGACAATAATGACAAGTTGGTGTTATTTAGAATAACGCAAAGTACACGGCGAGAAGCTGCCCAATCTAGATTTCATTCCGCGAAAATTCGTCAAGCTCTGGATAATCGTCATCGGAATTCGATTCATCCATCATAAATATCAAATTCTCATAGTCGTTTAGCTCATGCGAATCGTCGCGGCCGAGTCTTCGATGACCGCTAAAAGTAAATACGATTGATCTTGCAAGGTAGTCGCGCGCATGCGGACAACATGGAAAACAATTTTTAGTGGGCATAATTATAAGAATAGGTTGAAGGCGCACACGAGACCTCTGCTTAAATGTTTTGCACTCGCCTGACCCTGATAGTATCAGAAATCTCTTGTAATTCAACAAAAGAAGTGCTTATTTTTTATTCATCTTCTTTTTTTTTCATTTTCGCATTTAATAATACCACATTCTATTGTAATAATAATAAATAATTTGTAATTATATTTATATCATTTTTCATCGTCGAATTGAGTTTATGTCACAAAAGATACTATCAGAATCCATTCTACAAACTAGAAGCGATTAGAGGTTTTTTATAGTTTGTGATTGTAGTTTTTGTAGCTTTTTTCTGGCTTATAAAAACTGTTTCTCTCGGGCAATGACATTTTTGCAAAGAAATGACAAATTTTTTGAATTCATTCAAATCTTTTCGCTCAAGTCACACCTTGAAAAAGATTGAATACTTACTTTGTGTAATCCGCAAAGAATTTTCGATATGACGATTTTGGCCAGAATTGATGAACAACAACACATATGGCAACATAATTGGAAAATGTTCGAAGTGCTGAAAAAATTATGAAAAATCATTCACAATAATAACAAATTTGAATTGTCTCACCTAAAATTAGCGAAAATCTCCATAATTGAGACACGAACGTTGCGACAATTCCAATCATTGGTAGACTGATGAACCAAACTAAATAACCAGCTCCAAAATGTGCCAAAAATTCAGCTTTTGCGCGATTTTGCTCATTGTCGATGAGCATTCGTATTTCCAGTAAAAACCAAAACGCGTAGATTATTCGAATTAATATCATTACATGGCCAGGCCATGATGAATATACATCCACATCATGTAATACATCATAAACATAGGTCTGAAAACAATTCGAACTAGATTTTAAAAAATGGGTAGACTTACAAAATTGAAAAAAAAGCACACCGTGTCGAGACCCGCTAAAATACCCCAAAAGATAACAACGGGACGATTAAAATCGGACCCTTGATAAGTTATGTCCCAACCTCTCGCGAGCATGAGTAGCAAAAAGCAAAATATTTGTATCGACACATTTCTGTAATAAATGAAATTAAATCTTGTAGCGAAAATTGTGAACTATTTTGATATTCAAACCAACAATGTTATAAGGGTTTTTTGAAAATTTCTAACGTTTAATTTTTTCCTTCAAATAGTTCTTCTAATCCAAAGGAAATTGAATTCAGGATCATAAAATTATATTTTTTTCAGACCCTTTTTGCATAAAAATCGACAAAGTTCATTTTTTTTAACATGAAATCTTTTTTATTTTTGTAGATTTTGGAGAAATTTCGTATTGATATGTGAAGGGCTTAAAAAACTTCTTTCCTATGATCTAAATAAAAAAAATCCTATATTATTTTTAATTTAATTCCGTCATTAAGTCCAAAAATTTGGGATATTTTCAAATTATAATGTTCCTTAAAATTCTAAGCTCCGAGAAATTTTCATAATAGCATATTCAACTGTAGTCTATTAACTATGTTTATCTTAAAGAATACAGTAACTTCTCATTTAAAGCATATCTATGCATTTCATTGTCTTTTTTTATTCCAATGCACGTAAAATAACCAAATACCTTAAAATTTCTCCAGCCACTCGAAAAATGAAAATCCCTTTCCCATCATAAGCATACAATATCACATTTATACATTGAAAAGTATAGCCCGCCAACTCCATATGAACAACGAGCTTCAGAAGCCTGAAATACTTATCGATAAAATTCGAAACAACAATTTTATCGTACCTCATTCTCTGTGGAACGAGTCTATTTTTATACGGTGCATTGGACAGGATCATAAGCAATACAGCATAGAGTATAACAGTGATCACAAAAATTTGAACAGTGTTCTTAAATATGAAACACATTGCTTGAAAATGCTTTTTCACGGTACCTGTTCATCAAATGAAAAATTAAATGTAAAGAAGCTTGCTGCTGGGCTCTCTGGTCGACCATTTGTGAGCCAGATATCATAGGAAATGTCAACATTTGGTTGTGAATCAGTCCAATCGCAATTCGCGTCCAGATTACAAGAAAGTAACAGTACAAACCTAAAAATTTTATTTTTTTGCGTTATACGTTCGAACTGTTCAATCTGACAATCAATCATTTTCTAAAATTCTCAATAAAATTTACTAAGTAATTATGAATCTTCTAATTTACTACCTCGTTCATATAACGATTTTTCACGTTGGCTCCCACAACGTAAAAAATTACAAAATGTAAAATACAATATGCATATTTAATTTAGTTGCTTATACTTTTTTAGGAATGATTCAATTAGGTCCCTTAGTGCGAAATAAGAAAAATAATTACAACAGACGACCTTTGAGAAGGCGGAACATTTATTCAATCTAGATAACAGCTTCTTTCTTTTCAATTTAAAGCGCCTTTGGTTTACACTGACCAAAAGCGAGATTCCATTCTGCCGTTTTATTTGTGGAAAATTTGGTAACGGTGTAATCATTGTATGAAAAAAAAAATATATATAGTGAATGTGATTTTTCAGGAGAACAATTTTTCGCCTCATGAAAACAATAGTTTTTTTTAACAAATCGAAAACAAAAAAATTTCGAAAATATCGATTTTTTGTATGTGTTTTTTTCAAACGCATTTTATGAATCATACCAATGTTCCGGATTATACGGCTCCACCACTTGCATCGTCATTTGATATCCAGGAATGACGTTATCCGGATTGTCCTCGCCTTTGCATAGATGTCCCTCGGGGCAAGGTATCCATCGAAAAACATCGCTCGTGCCATTAGGAAAACAACGCGGCTCGAATCCTTTCAACGTCATGTTTCGCAGCATTCCGCTGCAAGAGAGCCCATACTCCGAATCGGAGCGGAACAAATGAATGTTCTCCGAGGATACAAGAGCGAGAAGAACTGGATCTAAACAAAAAACACATATTTTCTAGTGAAGAAATCGGTCTAAAAAACAAACTTGAATAATTATAGACGGCTTGCGGAATGAAGTTCCCAAAAAGGAATCCCCTCGAATCCTTTGGGTATTTTTGATTGGTTTGCTGATACCCAAATTTAGTCACAAAGTATGCTTTTTGATACGACGGGTTCCATATGCCTTAAAAAATCCAACCATATAATATTCCATATCATTGTTTAACCTTGAAGATATGCTCCGTGAACATATATGGGGAGAAGAATGGTACCAAGAAAGAGGAGCCATTTATGAAGCATCGCTATGACATTCTGTAAAATATTCGAAAATGAATGGCAACGAAACCTAAAGGAAAATGTTTATTTGATGCGTCGCATTAATGGCAAAGCTTCACATTGTTGGAGGCATCGACATGTAATAACACGCTGACAATGAGTGTGCAGTCAGTTAAACAATTCACATTAGAGCGTACTTGTCGTCCGTACAATTACAACTAATTCATGTCGTCATGATTGACATTTCATTTGACAGCGTTTCAATTGAAATTCGAACCAAAAATGGGAACGACAATGAAAAAAAAAATAGTTTATTTGCGGACAATTGAAATACACGTAAAATGCATATATCGAAGTGAAATTGAATAAAATAGGCGCCGAATAGGGAGGGGCGGATTCAATCTAAAGACCTTTGTTGCAATAAAGCTGTTTCGGCGCATTTGGCATGCTCTTGATTTTTTCAGCAAGCGCTGGTTCAAGTTGATCAAATGACACTGGCGTTTGTTGGGGGAACAACGCGCATCCGATCGGCGTCGAGAAGGCGAGCACAAGACCGCAGAGGCCAGTCTGAAGTGGAAGGAACATCCGCGGATTGGCTTTGAAGTAAGGGCGCTTCTCGAGAGAGTTCACCACTACGGGAATGAAAGCTGAAAACGATTATTGATGATTTTCAATCAATTATTCTTGGCGATTATTACCGAATGTTGGAGTAGCCATGAAGATTCTTGAGAGAACAACTTGTCCGATGGCGGATTGAGCAACCTTTGGCGATTTTCCCACGACTTGTCCCTTTTCATCGACAATATCAATTCCATCGGTGAGCTCTCCTCGACGCATCATTGGAATGTTGATTGAGTTCGCAACGCACACCGCGACAAACGGAACAAGGCGGCCAACAAGTGGTGGAGCTTTCTGAAATCATATCCCAATATTTCCATTCAATATTGTCTCGTTGAACTACCTTAACCATTGAGTTAAGTCCCAATGCAGCAGTTAGAGCTCCACCAGTAGCGCACACATAGGAAACAAGTAGCTGCGAAACTGAGCCGCCATCACCCGACCGATTGGTATAGTTGACGACAGCGTTGAACGACTGATTCAGCCATTGCCAGAAAATAACAGCAGCTGGCGATTTATAGAACGTCAACATTCCTCCGGTGATGGCCATGTTCATTGGAACTTGAGCTGACATTCGACCAACCATGAGCATTTTCTCTCCGGTTGCCGGATGGAATGCTGAATCGACGACGTGTTTGGCGGTCCACAGCTGATGAACAGTCAGGTCGTCACTAACAACACCTTTCCTTAAACAAAATTCTATCATATATGCACACTATAAATCTGAATTTTACTTATAATCATCCACGATTTTCTTGAAAGTGTCCAATTGTTTCTCGGTGTGAAACAAGTTCATCGGATTGGTGATAGCGAAAAAATGTTTGGCGCGTCCTTCAAATGTCGATTGGTCCCATTTCGGTTTAGCAATGTCAGGCTTCTCAAGAAGCGTTTTAACAAGCTCAGACATCTTAACCTGAAAAAAAACGATTGTTGCAAAAACAACAATATGTTGAAAACGAATTGGAAGCGAAATAAACGGCAATAGGCAATTGTGGCGTGTTCAACGCGAAACTGATAACAGTGGCGATGTACTCAATAGCGAGTGGCAGATTAAAGATCAAAAATCTATCTATTATCCTCTTTGGTAAACAAGTCGTTGCGGGGTAGGTCAAAACGTCAAAATGTGCAATGGGAGGCATAAAGATGGAAAAAGTGAGATTAGGTAGCGAATAGTAATTAGCATCGACTCGGCACTAGTTAATCTTTCATTGTTGAAAACCTTTGCTGAGAAATTGCGTTGTATCTTATCAGCGGCACGTGCAAATTGAGAAAAACCTGAACCTTTTTCTTTTTAGTTTGAAAGGTTTTAAAAAAAGAAGGAAGAAAAACCATGTAGAAGCTTTTGCGCACAAATTTATTGCATGTGTAGGTAAGTGAGCGAGCTTCATTTGGGCATACATAGAGAGGCTACAAGAGTCAGACAAAAAAATCAACTGAATGAAGTGGGCAGACACACTTTTATATAATGACCACCATCGTAAGAATCAAATGATCATACTTAACACATGTTGAAAGGAGGAGCAGCGGAATTTTGGCGTCAAATATCAAAATGTATGTGTTGCATCATTCTTCGCACAAGATATAGGAAATCTGTTGGACGGTGATAAGATATTCGACGTCACATAAAACACATGGATTGAATGAAATGTTGCTGCGAGGGGATCAACAAAAAAAACAAATGGAAAATTTGATCGTCACACGAGCTTTTGCCACCACGTGCGAGAAAAAATATTGAACAGCAGACGGAACAAGAATGTGACAAAGTTCGAAAACTGAAGCGATCAAGTGTTTGTCTCTGAAGCCTATCTCTCTCTCTCTCTCTTTGCACATACCACGTGGGACTCGGTTCATAGGAAATATTGCAAATATTGAAAACGAAAATAATTTTTTTTGAAGAAAAATAGAGAAAAAGCTGCGGAAGCTAAGCATTGACGAGTTCGACAATAAAACGTTTTCGGAGAAATAAGATTTTAAATAAAAATTTAAGTTTTTCAAATATTCCAAGTTTATAAAAGAATAATATTTGCGATTAGAACGTCAAAGGGAATCATAAATCAATATTTGAAACAACTTTTATATGGGCAATTTTCTGAGGGAATTTTTGAACAAATTGTTTTGCTGAGATGATTTTGAGATACTCAAAAAAAAAGAGAGAAAAAAGAGAATTATAAAACTTCAACAACTTCAAAAAAAATTTTCAACGAATTAGTAGATTTAAAATTTTAACAACATTACAGAATTGATATTTATAGTAATATGACATTCTAGAAAATATTTATGTAGTATAAGATCGACCCTACTAAACGTATTTTAGCTTTTCGTAGGAACAACGAGCCAACTGCAAAATATTCTAATGGCTTTGTGACCTAGCGAGGAGCCTAATTGCAAACAGTGGGTGTGGTGAAAACTGTGAAACTTTCACGATTTCATATACAAATAGCACATTTGTTTCATGGTAAAATCTGTTTCATATTTGAGAATTTCAAGCAATTTTTGGTTATGTCAAAATTGCGTTTACCAATTTGAATATTGCTATTAATTTATTGTTTGCACTTGATTATTCAAATATGGTCATTTTGTAAACAATATTGACTATCATGCATGTAAGCAGCCTGCCAAATATATTTTAAAAATCCATGGAAAAATATATTGAAGGCCACCAATTTCATCAACAAATTTTATAACTTCTAAAGGTTTTTATTTTGTTTAAATTTTGGGGAATTCGAATTTCGACTATTATCACGCAAATGCAATAAATTTTTAAAGTTTAAAACGGAAACACCTTTCTTCGTTATAATCGCCCAAATAGGGTTAATTATTTGGGAATAAAAAATTGACTAATTGTGCTCTAATCAAAATTCAAAACGCAAATTCCCAATGGATTACAACAATTTCCGAAATGAATGTGAGATTTCGCATATCGCCTTCATTACTCAATGTTTGAGCATCTATTTCTCTTGTGCCATCCTATGAAATTCTAAAAAAAAACAACCGCAATTCTTCAATCTACCAGATGTCATGCGCATAATTTATAGCGCATATTCTTTCGATTTTTTAGTTCAAAACAGCTAGCCAAAACCTTCCCATTAAAAGTAATCCAGCGGAATGCAATCACCATTTTTCCAATTCTTACGATAAAAGAAAAGCATTTAAACCCTTTTTAAAATCTTCTCCTCTCCTATCAAATTTCACATTGCTTAACCGTACTAAAAGTTTCGGGCCGAATAATGTTTCCTATCTATGACAATCTGCACGATAAGGGCGTATTTCCCTTTATAATAGTATTCATAAAAAGGACATTAAGAACATCGACGGATATCCGCACATTTGTGAGTTTTAAATTTGATTGCTAGAAATCCGGACAACTTTAAACTTCGCATATAATTGAAAACCGTATGACGTTCAATTAACAAACCGATGGATTCGGTAACTGTAAGAACTTTCCAATAAATCAATCATTTCTCCAACTATACGTGGGTTTCGCTTCAATCCTGGCGTATTCCTTCATCCAAACGGCCGCTTTGATCGCTATCAATCTTTGGTTTCGAAATGGTCTAACAAATTTTGCTTTTTTATTTTACGACTCCTTTCCTAGGTGAGATAACACCAAAGACATATTCGAGCGCGGCGACAGATTTCAGTCTCAAATACACAAAGGGTATGAAGCATCTCTTTCGATTCCCGAAGCTGGGAGATTATTAATTGCTGTTTTAGGAAAAATAGGAACAGTACGGACTAATTCAGGAAAGTCAATTCCGGGTTATTCACGGGGCCAATATTCAACTCATATCTTTAGTGAAAAAAAAAATTCTAAAAAAAACCTCAATGACGCTAAAAAATCCTTTTTTTGAATAGCATGAGGAATTTTACTATATTTCCAATAAAAACTAAAATTGCAGAATACGAAAAGGAAAAACAATTAATCGAGATTTTTTCTCTTCAATCAAACGCTATTTGCACTTTATTAAACCGCCATTTTACGATCAATATAGATATTTTGTACAACCGAAAAAAAATTTTTGGCCTTGGTTAGGTTTTTTTTTATTTATAAACCCTTTTTCAGTAGTTCACTGAAAATAAACGATGGTTTTTACAATTTTGCATACTTTGATCTTCCTGCAAGAATAGACCCTTAAGTACATTATTTTATTCAATTAAAACATTATTGAATTTCACAGATCCAATGAAAATGGATCGGTTACCACAAGGGATTCAAGTGTTTGTCGGTTCCGCGTTAAAAACGCAGAACCTGTTCCGGGATCATCCCAGAACTTTTTCCAAAATTTGTTGGAAGATACTTTTATGCTGAGCCGTTTTAACTATAATACATTATGTACATGGTTTAAAGCTGACCAACATACGAAGGCGACGGTATATACAATGCGGCGCTGACGGACGGTTCACGGGTTTCGCTTGCATCTATCTCAACCAGGTGAAGAAAATAGTTGGGTATAAAACGATACGCAGAAAAGTCGCCGTCTCATGAAGAGATTCGATCTGTGCTGTTCAAAATGGCTTTCGACAATACGTTGAAATAACACCAATTTCAAACAATACCAGTAAAATCAGCAAATTATTGATCTCAAAACAAAATTAATTATTTTCTAGCCTTTTTTGTATTACTTAAATACAATTATTCTCGTAGTTTTTTGTGGGTTTTAAGATTAAAACGAACGTTATTTAGTACGTCGTCGGCGATTTTTCTCTATATATATATATATAATATTCTAAAAAATTCTTGGTTTCGCTATCACGTTTTTTGTAATATTTTGTACTTTATCATATTTAAATATTTATTAAAAAAAGTCAATAACAATAAGAATATAGAACCATACTCTTTGTTAGTTTGAAATTCTATTAAACAATATTTTGATGAAAGAACAAAAAGAAAAAAATCACAAGTTTTCATAGTCTTTTATTTTCTCTAACAACTCAATCCAAAATTTTGAACCGCTTTTCCGTAAATCTTCATTATCAGCGCGCATAAATACAGAATCGAAGTTTCTCGAATCGTTTACCTATTTTAAAATATAATTCAAAACAATTCTTTAAATGCAAAATAATAATACAAATCGCGATTCGTTTTCAACATATTGTTGGTTTTTTGTTGTCTCATGTGTCTATGAGAACCATTGTAAAGTAGGGTTAACGATTTTACATTACTTTGTGCATATTAAAAATTTTGGCACAAAATTTATAATTTCTAAATTATATTTTTTAATTCAATTCAATAATTTCCTTATAATTTCTAAAAAAATTATAAATTAACAATTTCTGAAACAAAACTTCACGAGATTATCTTTTCGGAATATCTAGTGTTAATAAACTTTCTGAAAATATTATTGTCTATTTTGCCTTCTTTTACCAAAATCATTTATAAAAATTCTATGAATTATAGGCATATCTGACGTTTTCAGGCGAAATGTTAGAAAACATATTAAATTATACAAAGTTATTCTAAGGTGTTCATCACAATATCAGAAATTTCGTTATTTCACACATTTAAAAATACTTCTATAACGAAAAAAATGATATAGAGGTGAGTTCTGAAAATCAGCTGAAATAATTAAAAACAATATTCAAAAAAAACAAGCGATGAGGTTGATGAATAATTATTTTGAAGGAAACTATTATATATATATATATATCTTAAGATTAAATGCAGATAACAAAGTACAAAATATTATAAAATTATAATTAAACTAGGTTTTATAAGTAACCTAGTTCTTATAAATCTAAAATAATAGATATAAGCTGATAATTGATCAAGACAATGAGTTCAAATGATTTTATTATCTTCTTCTTCCCAAAAGTCGTCCAAATTTTTAATTATTTTATTCCATATTCACATGAATTCTGAAGTATTGCGAAATAAGTGGCTTTCCGCACAAATCTCTCTATCGTCCG